CTGTATGATAAGGTTTGGCTTACAGCCACTAAGCCTATCGCTGTTCCTCTTCAGCAGGGTGTAGTTTATCTTCATTGGCAAGCCCCTTTGCTAGGGAGGTGTAAGGTTAATACTGATGGTAGTTGTAAGCATGCTCTTGGGTACATTGGAGCTGGGGGTCTGTTAAGAGATCATGCTGGTAATTGGCTTAAAGGTTTTTCTGTTAATTTGGGTGTTGGGTCAGTGGTTGAGGCTGAGTTATGGGGAATTTTTTGGGGGCTCCATTTAGCTTGGGAAGCTGGGTTTCGTAGTGTGGAGGTTGAATGTGACTCTAAGTCTGTTGTGGGTTTGTTGCTGAATCCTCCTAGTCATACCCATCCTCTTTTTAGCATTATCAATTGCTGCTATGTGCTGACTCTGAAGGACTGGTGCTGTTCTGTCAAGCACATTTTTCGTGAGCAGAATTTTGTTGCTGATTCTTTGGCTTCTATGAGCCATGATCTTCCCTTGGGTTTGCATATTTTGGATTCAGCTCCTAGTGTGGTTGTTGATCTTCTTGCTGCTGATGCCAGAAGCTTGGCTCGTCCAAGGATGATTGTTGTGTAATTCTTTTGTGTTGTTTGGGCTTTGGCCCCCTATTTTACCCAAAAACAACAATGTTTTTAATTTTTTTTTTTAAATATGAAATTGTATTTCCATATGGGTAGCTACTGGAACAATTTTGTGCTAACCTGGTCTATCAAGAACAATTACTGAAAAAATTTTATAAAACGAAAATTAGAAAAGAAAAAGAAAATAAAAGAACACAATATGCATGTTTAAGGAAAAATGCAAATGCATTCAATCAAAGAGAAAGGCCTAAAAATACATCAATAACAAAAAGAATATGTCAAAAGGAAAAAGAAGAAAAACTTACCTTCACACGAAGTTCGTTCATCGGATGTGGTGTCAATAAAGCTCGAATTGAAGTAACAATAGGTCCCTAAAAGGACCGAAAATGGTATTTAACATGATAATCATCTCTAAAATTCTGAACACGTTGCATTTGTAAAACAAATAATGGAAAAAGTTTGCAAAAACTGTAAAAATGTCTTTGATAAAGATTTTAGATGCTTGCCTGTATGCCGCAAACAACAATTTGATCTCCTTCATGAAGCACGCCATTAACCAGTACAACATCAATTGTTGTCCCAAGGCCTTCAATAACCTTAACCTCCAACACAGTACACTGGTGCACAAGATCAGCCTCCAATCAGATCACTCAAATTTCTCAACTGTTAAACCCTTTTACATAACTGGAAACAAGGTGAAAAGAAATCAAACCTGCACTTCATTTCTGTAAGTAAGATTCTCAACCATAGTTTTCTCGGTCAACTTCGCCAATACTAATAACAAATCTGGAATCCCTTCACCGCTGGAATATTCAGAAACCAAATTATCAGGACACAGCAGAAAGATAACCGCTGAAATAATCTTCACAGCAGAAACTATAAAAACAAGATAAGGCTAGCTCATAAGACATACCTAATGGCACTTGTAGGTACAATTCTGTACGTTTCCCTCATTTCTTTATCCATATTATTCAGTTCAGTATTTAATCCCTGCTCCTTGAATTGAGTGATAATCTGTCAACCCATGCAAACATTGAAGGTTTAAACAGGAAAGTCAAATTAAATAAAGTGAAATAAAAATATAAGGTTGCAATGCATTCAGTATTCAACCCCTGCTCCTTGATTTGAGTGATAATCTGCTAACCCAATACAAAAATTGAAGGTTTAACCAGGAAAGCCAAATTTAATAAAGTGAAACAGAAAGACAAGGTTGTAATGCACAAGACCTGTACGAGCTGGGTTTCGAACTGTATTTTTACATCCTTTGATTGCTGCTTCATTGCCTTCTCAATCGGTGCGTTTCGACAGGTTTTCCACCCGTATAGTCTGTCCACCTAACAGTTGGATATTCAAGAAAATAAAATTAAACATTGATGAGGAGAACCTAGTAGTGAACCAGAGGGTGGATTTGACCATAATAAACCTCACCTTATTCAATGCAACAATGAACTTTGTATTCCTCATTTTCAAAAGATTGAGTGACTCTATTGTTTGAGGCTCTAAGCCATGCATAATGTCAACAACCAAAACTGCAATATCACATAAACCTGAACCTCGCGACCGTAAATTAGTGAATGACTCATGACCAGGGGTATCAATGACCAATAGACCTGGGACCTTCAGCTTCACATCAGCTTTCAGTTCCTTAGTTCTCTCACGGATGTTCCCAGCAGGAAAATATGTTGCACCAATTTGTTGAGTAATACCTCCAGCCTCACCTTCCTGAACATTTGTGCCTCGTATACAATCTAATAGCTTAGTTTTACCAGTATCCACATGGCCCATAATGCAGCAAATAGGTGAACGAAGGTTATCCTCACTCTCTTTTGGGGCAGCATCTGAAGTTGCTGTTTCTTTTTCAACAACATCTTCCTTCCTACTTTTTTTCTTATTCTCAACATTCTGAGATTTTATTGATTGAGTAGGAACATTTTTCTGGGCAGAAACTGTTGGCTTGGCACCTGCACTCTTTATGTGTTTTTTCACAACAGGTTCAGGCTTAGAGTCAATCTCTTCATCAGAAAATCCATGTTTAAGAGAAAGATTAACAGCAGAATCATCCCAGCTCTTTGCATCCCATTCATCAACATCATCAATTTCTTCTTCTGCTTCTCCTTCCATTCCATTATTTTTAGCAGATTCAGCAATGTCAGATTTTTCCTCTATATATGTTGATTCCACCTCTTCAACATTGTCACATTCCACAGAATCCAGCTCAGGTACAGTGTGTTGCTGGTTTTCTTCTTCTTCTTCTTCTTCTTCTATGTTTTCCACTGCCTTTGCAGGAGCCACACCATTTGGAGCGATGGCTGCTGGTTTTGACTTCTTTTTCTGAATCAAGGGTCTATTAGCCGGTTTCTCATGGTCTATGGTAGGGAGAGGCAAACTCTCTGCTGCATTAGCAAGTATCTGGTTTCTCATTGCCTCCAGCCGACGGGCTTCTTCTTTTTCCTTTGCAGTTATAGGCTTGCCTTCCAGTCTCTTCTTTAGTAGTTTCTCCCTTTCTCTTTCTCTTTTCCTACGTCTGGCATCCTCCCTTTGCCTCTCAAGTTCCTCCAGCCTAAGCCGCTCCTCTTCTTCTCTCCTCTGTCTCTCCTCTTCTTCCCTTCTTCTTCTATCTTCCTGTTCATTTCGCCTAGCAAGAGCCTCTTGCATCTCTCTAACATGCTTTGGCACTTTCTTTTCTGCTGCTTTACCTTTCACCTGATTTGTCTTGGGTTCTGTCCTTTCAATTTCTGTTTCTTCATGGTTTTCATCCTTAAAACCTGTCAGAATAGCAATATTGAACAGAGATTTAACAGAGAGAAGCAGAAAATCTTAGGAGAAGAACTGATGTATTCATTCATTGATTAATTCAACACAGTACAGT